TTCTATATATACGGGCAAGTAATAGCGGCATGTTATTCGTTCTCGTTTTGGTTTTGTGCACGTTCACCTGCTTTTTATATAGCCACCTTTGATCATTGCATTTACTTTGTTAGGCGGATATGGGAACTTTGCTTGGGTTCGGGAATGCATTACTTCTTTATTCTTCAATGATCGGTAGACGAAAAGACTCAGATCAAACAATAGACAGCACATGGCATTACAGTACAGCACAAACTCGTCATCAAGTCGTTGATTTTCAAAGGTCTCCCCCCTTTCCATCTATGTACACGCTCTACCTCATCATTTGCTCTGGCTTCTCACCCTCACTCTCACTTCGCAGCGGAGGAACCAAGTAACCGTTTGTGCTGTATAAATCCATTCCGTCCCGTCCAACTCCAGGTATGCCCGCCTTTCTTTTTCCACCGTCCACTTTCTTTTCAGAGAATCCCTCGTCGATCAAGTACGTAAATCTCAAACGGAAGAAGCAAGAGTAATCTAGTCCGGTAACAAGAAGCCTGAGGCTAAAGCCAGTGGCTCAAATCTCCACGTCAATCTCCAAATCCAGCGCTCCAATAACATCGTCGTCCATGATGGGCTTGTGGATCGTCGGCAGGCCCTTGCTCTCAGAGTAGTGCTTCTCTTGCAGCTTCGCCAGGTGCGACTGGATCTGCGATGACAAAGGGCCCTTAGTCCCGTTGGTCGCCGCGGCCGAGCCATTGTCCTTGGGAGCTTCGGGCTTCTCGCCGACCTTTTCGTTGACGTCGTGCACGAACTTGGCCTTTGTTCGTAGTCGTCGTGAGTAGTCTTCCTCAATGACCTCGCCGCGCTTCAAAGCCATCTCAATCTCTCGCGCCTTGGCCTTTTCCTTGAGCTGAGCCTTCCGGACCGCTTCCTGGTTGAGTCGACGGTTCTCTCGGTTACGTTCCGCGAGTCGGTCCTGTTCCGAAGAAGCTTTGGTGGCCTCTGGGTTTTTGGACGGTCCCAAGCTAGTCTTGAAGGCAAGCCGTTCCCTACCAAGCTTTTCCAGTTCCTCTTGGAGCTCCTCCACCCTTCGGTCATCGCCTCGCTGGGTCGCTTCCTCGATGAGATTGGCAAGCCGCTGGCGCTCCTGGGGGTCAAAGCGTCTACGCAGCTCGTTGCGCTTCGCCAGTCGCGCCTTGATCTCCTCGTTCGTCCACTTGTGATTGATCAAGGCGTTAATGTCATCAATCTTGTTGACGAGGAATTCCTTGGTAGGCAATGCCACACCATCGTTGTGGCACGTCACTTTGTATCGGTTCAGTTCGGCCTAGATGTCACCTGTCAGCACGGTGGTTTGCCAATGGGCAGAGTATGAAGCTGAAGCAATAGATAGTACCTCTGTGAATGAGCCACCTGAAGCCGCAATAAAGGGAAACTCCTTGACGGCCTTGCCGTGCGCGGCCTTGACGTACTGGTCAGTCACGAAAGACCCTTGGGGGCCGTTGAGAGCGTATGGTCGGCTGGTTGTGAATCCTGCAAGGCATCATTAGCACATGTAGCAAGCAAACTGCATCGGGGATAAAGTCTCACCCTTGATCAGAGCCATGCGGTATTGCTCGATGCCAGTCTCAGGGTGGGCACCCAGAGCGATACGGATGTAGCATCCAGTGATGGCCTCCTCGAAGCCAGGGGTAGAGCAGACTTGCGCAAACTCGTTCCGGCCGAGACGGACCCTTTCGAAGTCGCGAAGCTCTGGTGGCGGCAGCTCCCTAGCTGCAGCTTTCTCCGGCGAGCGAGTGCGGGTCTGTCCAAACTCATCGTCACTGTCCTCTGGCTCCCTAGACTCCCGGCCATCTGGCGACACATCGTCCCTCCGCCTCTCTCGGTCCTCTTGCCGCCTCTGCTTCTCAGCGCGAGCCCGGCGAAAGGAATCAATGGCTGACTCGCTGCCCTTGGCCGTCTTCGTCCTCGATACCTTGCGCGCACTGTCCTCGAGCTCGGCCGTGTCGGCGCTACGCTTCTTCTTGACCTGTTTGCGCTCCTCAATCTCCACGTTGTTGACCATCTGTCGCAGAAGCCGGTTCTGTCGCTGACGTTCTATCTCAGAAACTCGCTCCGCGATGATCTGCTCTCGCTCGACTTCTCGCATGGCCATGATCTCAGCCTTTTCCGCTTCGCTCATGAACATGCCGTCGACGGGATACTTGTCGTCATCGTTGGCACCGGCGGCAGGGGCAGAGCGTGTCGCGCCGCGCGCAGGCTCCGCATCAGAGTCGGACTCATCCATCGAGGCTGATTCTAGGGAGTTGTGTGAAGGAGCATCGGATCTGGAAAGGGAGGGACGGAAGAGTCGCACGTTAATAAATGCCCGATAATTGACGCGGAGGGAAACTGAGTCCATTGTGAGGAGAAACTGAGTGGCCGCGACACCTATTGTTCGCTTTGAATGACCCCCCCAGCTGCTCGGCAGCACAATAAGAAGTGGAATCACTTACGCCTCGCCCTCATCTTCCGAATCCTCTTGTTTTGATCGCCGCTTTGACTTGGTCTCTGGTGATTTGGGCGTCTCATCGTCGGAAGCGGGCGGTGGCGACGCCGACGGCTCTCTGCTCTCGCTCACGGATCCCTCTTCGTCCGAGTCACCGCCCGCAAGGGCGAGGAGCTCGTCATCGATATCGGCCATGATGGTAGTCTTTGACGTAGTCCCTGTGATCAATGGCCGAGAGATGCCTTCAGGGGGTGGAAGCGGTGGCGAGAAGAGCCCGACGTTGTTGACAGCGATCAATGGGCAGCAAAGCAAACGCGACGGCACTTCGATTCGAGTCGAAGGATGAGGCGTCTGGACGCCTGAGAGCAGAAGAGGCTGATGGAAAGGTGATTGTAATGGTAATGCAGTTCCTGTATATCGCTGCCGACGGCCTTCTGAAGCCCACGATTCGCACAGCAAATGGGCCAACAGGAGAGAGTAAAGGAGAGGGTTAAGGGAAGAGAGGCAGAGACGCCTCAGAACCTCAGCGCCTTTCCACCACTGTACAGCGACTCGCTGCCAATTAACGCGACTGCGCTCGTGGCGGAAGATTGTTAATCCGCCGCGGATGAGATTCAGCCAATCGGTAGCCTTGCCGTATGCAGGCCGGCATCATACGTGCATGGTCCCAGTTCTTGGAGTCCATGATGCCGAGAGAGCTGCTTCACTGGTGATGCAATCAGTAATACCTCTCTTTGCTCCTTGATACCTCGGCAGTCCTCCCTGCTCCCAATTTCACAATGGCGCCCGCTCGGTGTCTTTCCCGACAGGCTACCGGCCTCAGCAGACACCTCCTCCGAGCTCCCTCTCGCCCGCTCTCCACCAGCGCCGTCCTCCGAGCAGCCACATCTCCATCCTCCGAGAATCCGAGCGCAGAATCACCAAAGAAGAAGCTCAAGCCTCTCACCCAAGAGCAACGCGACTTTCTCTCCTCCGCCGTAAGCTCGACCGCCCTTTTCCACCAATCCCAGCACCCCAGACCCTCCTCATAACAACATACATTCACTAACCGAGCACCATCAGCTCCGAGTCAACCAAGCCGGCGAACTCGCCGCAACCCTCATCTACTCCTCCCAGACCCCCGTCATCACCCGCAAGCACCCTCACCTCCGCCCCCTCATGGGCCACATGTACGACCAGGAAGCCGCCCACCTCACCACCTTCAACGACCTCATCCACAAGCACCGCGTCCGCCCCACGGCCCTCTACCCGCTCTGGTCCGTCCTCGCCAGCGGCCTCGGCTGGTCCACCGCCGTCATGGGCCGCGAGGCCGCCATGGCCTGCACCGAGGCCGTCGAGACCGAGATCGGCAGCCACTACAACGAGCAGATTCGCTCCATCCTTGAGATGATTGCCCAGTGGGAGGCGCAGGGGTACGACGTCAGCGGCGAGATCAAGCAGCTCGTGGATACGCTCCGCCGGATACGGGACGAGGAGCTGGAGCATCTGGATCATGCCGTGGAAAACGACGCCAAAAAGGCAGAGCCTCATTGGCTGTTGACGAATGTTATAAGGGCTGGGTGCCGCGGTGCAATATGGGTGAGCGAAAGGGTGTAGCTGACGGCTCTGCAGCTACTCGGCATGTGT